TTTTCGCCTGTTGTCTACAGCTGTGTGTTGACGCTGGTGTCTGACAGCTGTGTGTTGACACGTGTGTCTGACAGCGGTGCTGATGGGTCCGGGAAAGCTTTACTGCGGCAACGTTTGCGTTTCTTGTTAGAGTTATTGTAACAAACTTTATGGAACAGTTAAAGCATTTATTTTGAAATAGTAAACTGTAATTTACGATGGAATAAAAATACAATTGAACAAGTTCACCGTTTCTCCACCTTCACGTTGTTCACAGTGCAGATCAAGCTAGTGGATCCCTGAGCAGCGTGCGAAGCCGTCGGGAGAACCTTTACCACAAGTGTGTTGCTTCTGGTGTGAATGTAGCTCTGTGAGAACCAGAGAGAACCAGGATGGGAATTCCATCATGTGTGGCTGTAGTGTAGGACCAGATGGAGACTCCATCATTGTTGATGTAATGTAAACCAGTATGGAAAAATCTTCATCATGTGTACTGTATGTGTCAAAACAGGATGAGTATGTGGTTGGAAGGAGTGGGAGGAAAAGAAGGGTGGTTAGTGTGGTGGGAAACAAGCTGTAACGGAAAACTGGCCTCGTGGGGGTGTGAGAAAATAATCTGTTGGTTGGGGACAGCGAATGTTAGGGAAAGGAGGAATTAGTATTAGGGGAGTGAATGGGAGAGCGAGTAGTGGGTGGTGAGGCGGAAGAAGTACTTCCTTCGTTGGGGAGAGGAAATAACTGCAGGGGGTGCGGATGGGGAGGAGATAAGTATGCAGAGGGTGCGTGATTGGGGAGGAGATAAGTACTGGCGAAGGGTGCGTGATGTGGGAGGAGATAAGTACTGGCAGAGGGTGCGTGAGTGGGGAGGAGATAAGTACTGGCAGAGGGTGCGTGAGTGGGGAGGAGATAAGTACTGGCAGAGGGTGCTGAGTGGGAGGAGTAAGACTGGCAGAGGGGCGGGAGGGGGAGAATAAGTACTGGCAGAGGGTGCGTGAGTGGGGAGGAGATAAGTACTGGCAGAGGGTGCGTGAGTGGGGAGGAGATAAGTACTGGCAGAGGGTGCGTGAGTGGGAGGAGATAAGTACTGGCAGAGGGTGCGTGAGTGGGGAGGAGATAGTACTGGCAGAGGGTGCGTGAGTGGGGAGGAGATAAGTACTGGCAGAGGGTGCGTGAGTGGGGAGGAGATAAGTACTGGTAGAGGGTGCGTGAGTGGGGAGGAGATAAGTACTGGCAGAGGGTGCGTGAGTGGGAGGAGAAAGTACTGGCAGAGGGTGCGTGAGTGGGGAGGAGATAAGTACTGGCAGAGGGTGCGTGAGTGGGGAGGAGATAAGTACTGGCAGAGGGTGCGTGAGTGTGGGAGGAGATAAGTACTGGCAGAGGGTGCGTGAGTGGGGAGGAGATAAGTACTGGCAGAGGGTGCGTGAGTGGGAGGAGATAAGTACTGGCAGAGGGTGCGTGAGTGGGGAGGAGATAAGTACTGGCAGAGGGTGCGTGAGTGGGAGGAGATAAGTACTGGAGAGGGTGCGTGATGTGGGAGGAGATAAGTACTGGCAGAGGGTGCGTGAGTGGGGAGGGAGATAAGTACTGGCAGAGGGTGCGTGAGTGGGGAGGAGAAAGTACTGGCAGAGGGTGCGTGAGTGGGAGGAGATAAGTACTGGCAGAGGGTGCGTGAGTGGGGAGGAGATAAGTACTGGCAGAGGGTGCGTGAGTGGGGAGGAGATAAGTACTGGCAGAGGGTGCGTGAGTGGGGAGGAGATAAGTACTGGCAGAGGGTGCGTGAGTGGGGAGGAGAAAGTACTGGCAGAGGGTGCGTGAGTGGGGAGGAGATAAGTACTGGCAGAGGGTGCGTGAGTGGGAGGAGATAAGTACTGGCAGAGGGTGCGTGAGTGGGAGGAGAGAAGAATTCTAACCTAACACAAGCGCGTATAAACAAACAGCGACTTTTGTACAAGCCAAGGCAAATAAAAGGCCGAAAAGATATAAGAATGAACAATGTATTTTAGAAAGCGTGAAGAGTTCGAATCATCTTCCTCTTTCTTGAAGTATTGTACATTCCATAGGCCTTCGATTTTAGTGTCCCCTTGTCTTAGAATAACTTAAGATACACATTTCATCATTATTATTAATTTTATTATTATTATTTTCTTTGAATTAATGAAATTTAATTGATCTCTGTAGAGAATGCTGAGTGCCGGGCACCTATATACATCCCTGAGACGGGTGAGGGCCAGGCACCAGCGGTGCCACAAGCGGCTTCAAAAGACGGACACCAGGAGACTTCGACGAAGGAGACGACTGCTAGACAGTGGCAGTGGAGGATGCTGAGAGACCAACAGAGGAACACACCGGCAGAAGGAGACCAGCAGAAGGTGTCGAGCAGGGAAGTCCAGCAGGAGGGAGAGTTGAGCGAGGAGAGACAGCAAGAGCCAGTATGCAGCGAGTGTGGGTGTTCAGTCAGCAGCGCCACCCTCAGGAGATATCAAGATGCCGTCGATTTCACGAAGGAGAAACTCAAATCTATGAGCGAGGAAGATCCCAGTATCCTTTTTTATCTATCTCACTTTTAATCCTTCTTTCTCTTGTATTCGTGGGTTTTAAAAACTTCTGCAGAATTTAAAGAGTTGACCAGGATTTAGTCTGTTGGTCTAGCGGTCCTAACTCGCTAGACCGTCGCTCAAACCACTGCACCACACACCCTGGGCTCAAATCCCGTTCACTGTTTCCAAATGTTTACATTCCTTCACTTACACATTTTTTCCTGAGCTTTCCAAACACTGTCATGAGCACTGTAGCACTCAGCATCCTCAAACCGAACCCTCAAGTTTGAAATGATAAATTGGACGACATTTCAGTCCGTCTCGGAGCAATTATTAAGCCTGTCCCAACATGGTAATGGTCCAGAATGGTCCAGGACGAACCGAACATCTTCCACTTTCCGTTTTCAGTTTGTGAGTTAGTTGTGAAGTGTTTCCAGCCTCGGTTTTTTAAATTTTATTCCTGACGTGACTTAGCCTTTGTTATGTATTTAAACTGGTACCTGGGGATTAAACCCTTGTCTTGGGGCATATATAATATTAGAAAAATACGACACCCAAGGACCATAAAGGTTAATTTCACTAAAAGCGCTAAACAGCTGAACAATAACTATATGGTTGATTATCAGGAAGGACAGATAAACTCGCCTTTGTAAAATATACATGTAGGTCTATATAACTATATACACAACAATGTATGTAACTATTTATACATAATCTGCCTTCACCACATCTGACAAAAAAAAATCAATTGTTTACTGTACTAGTTATTTAAAATTAGGCCATATGCAATACTGTTACAATCAAAACCAAGTGCTAACCCACAAGGATCATTAGGCCACATAAGATAAAATATTACTGCGCCTATAGATCGCCGTATCTCCTGCCAGCTTCCAGCCTGCCGGTAAAAATGCAATTATTTGTGCACTTTCCAATAATCACACAGCCCCATATACATACCAGTGCCTTGCCCAGTGCTACAGCCAACTTAAGATTACAAAACAAATATTTCTTCAAACAATTGATGGCCTAAAACTTACCCAAAATACCACACACCACTAATTCAAACTCCATGACACCTCGTTCCAACAACTACCCTCTCGTCACTGTGTCACGTACCTCCCTCTCTCTCTCTCCAGTACACTCAGAACCCGTGTCTAAAACAGGTCCGTTTGCCTGCTCAATCCACGTCCACTTAAGCATTTACACTCTTTTGAAACTATATACACTTTATATATTTTATAACAATGCAGTAGCCTGCATAATAGCCTTGAGCCTATATTATTTATTATTATTATTAATTATTATTATTATTATTATTATTATTTATTATTATTATTATTATTATTATTATTATCATTATTGTTATTATATTATTATTATTATTATTATTAATTATTGCAATTTTGTGAGGCGTAAAACTCATATGGGTCATTCCTGCGGAGAAAGGTGAAAATACAGAACTGCAAATGTTCCTTAACACTGTTGTCAGACGTGGAGGAGTGTCTGGAAATGATAGAGAGGCAAGGCAGCATCTTCCATCCCTTCAACGTGTGGAGAGTTCGAACGCTGGACTTTGCTTTCAACGTGGCTGTCTTCAACGGGTTCTGGAGCCGCGCCCTGGCCTACGGCGAGGAGAATCTCGAAGGGATGAGGTGAGGAACGACGAGGAGCAACGCTGTATAGAGGAGTCAGTTTCAACGGGTTGAAATGGGGATTGACTTGAGGAAACTCTGAAGAGATGGCCATCTTCAGCATGATATGAGGAATGACTTGGGAAAGCTGCAGTAGGAGTCACCTTCAGTGGGATGAGGTGAAGAATGAGTGAAAAACACTTCAGAAAGGGATTATTGTATTCGTACTGATGTTCCAAGTCCGCAAAGGGAAATGGGAAACATTCAGGTTCGATCCAAGAAGAGGGAGGAGAAGTCCAGTTCTTGGATCAAGAGCCCCTCATTTGTGGTGAAAATTCTAAGTAGATATGCTACCATTCTCAGTGGAATCCTCTCGACCAATCTTTCAAGAGTTATTGCTTAAGTTTTATTTAGGTATTTGGTGCACAATATATATTGTTTATAATATCCTTACATATGTTATGAATATAAAAAGTACATTATGTAGCTTAACCCAAGAGAGGTATACCTTTAGAAATAGTCTTCATTAGTTATACCCAGGTACCCAGTGAGAACAATGATTAATATATAATAGTTCTAATCAGAATTTAATGGTTGATTTTGATGAACGAAAAGTAACAACCATTGAAATGAATGTGAGGGTTATCACACATCTATTTCAGCACCCACATCCGTGAGTATCTTACTATGGTTAAACTAGGATAACCCAATACTCACTCATTATCATCCCCACAGGTACTGCTATGGCTCCGACCATCCCACCTTCTGCCTGTTCCTCTTCAAGCTGGGTAGGCCAAGATATACTCAAGGAGTTCCGAGAAGGTCTTCGTCTGCTGGAGGAAGCTGAGCCTCAGCTTAAAATTGCCCTGGGACCTGACCACTACATTCTTGAAGACCTGAATGTCGTGAGTCTTCTGGCCAATGAGGACGTAGAGATCTGCATGGAGCGCCGTAACGAGGCCTACAGAAGCAGACGAGGTTGAAATGGAGGCCAAGGACAGAAAGAAGACAGAGAAGAAGCAACTCCAGATCTTCAACACCATTACCTTGCTGGGTTCGACAGTCGTAACATGGATCAGAAGAGCTCTCTATAGTACCCCCCTTAATTTTAACGTTTTCTCTCGTGATCTGATTTTAGTACAATCTCCTAGAAATTCATTTAATATTTTAATGATAGACTTTTAAGGACTTGTACATCCGACAAGTTAGTAGAAAATTGCTCATTAGAACGGGTCGTGGGCACTCTTTTCATCAGAGCACTGTCAGCGTACTCCTCTCACATACTGAGTGGCCGTGGTTCAGTTCCCGGCACAGGTGTGGAAACGTTGGGCATGTTTCCTTACACTACTGTCCCTGGTCACCTAGCAGTAAGTAGGTACTTGGGTGTTAGCCGACTAATGTGGGTGGCATCCTGGGGTTAAGATTAAAGGACCATAATAGAAAATAAGACAGACAGTCCTCGATGACCCACTGACATTACTGGGTTATCCTGGTGGCTGACTCTCAGGGTTTAAAATCCAAAGAAATCTTAACATGGGAATTGTTTCCTATATATCATCACTCGTATATTATCCATTTATTATCTTAATATCGTACGGCTGGTATTTCTGCTGTTGATTATTACTGCTGCTACTACTACAGTTACTAGTAATGTTACTACCAAATACTACAACTGAAGCCACTACCTGTAATCCTGTTACTACTGAGTGCTACTGCTATTGTTGTTGTTGCTGCTGCTGCTGCTGCTACTGAGGAGAGATATTCAGTCATACAAAATAGCTGAAGGTTGCTCACAGTGCATATATTGTCTATGTCTGAACACTAATATACATATATGGGATAATATTTAATTGAATCCTAGGTATTTTCTGCTCACTGGACAATATAACACTGTCGATGCTGCTTCTGCTGTTGCTGCGGCTGCTCCTGTTGCTGTTATTATTACTATTTTAAAGCCTATTCTGTGGTTATTTTTACACAGGTGTGATGTATGCGCGGCTCGAGGTCATTCTTGCATACATCTTTGAATTATTTCCAAAGAATACTATGATCTGTTATGTAATAATACAGGGGGAGTTATCCAGTGTGTATGGACGGTGTTTTGTTTTCAAAATGAGTATTTTAAACGAAATACCCATTTTCCTTTCAAAATATTTAACTAAATATGCTTATATTTTGCATTATATAGATTGAACACTTGCTATATATACATGCTTTGGTATGTATGTAAAGATCAGGTAAATTGCTTAGTTCTGAGGTGTTGGTTACAGTATATGGTTAAATAGATAAGATTTCTTTCGGATTTTTAACCCCGGAGGGTTAGCCACCCAGGATAACCCAAGAAAGTCAGTGCGTCATCGAGGACTGTCTAACTTATTTCCATTGGGGTCCTTAATCTTGTCCCCCAGGATGCGACCCACACCAGTCGACTAACACCCAGGTACCTTTTCCTGCTATGTAACAGGAACAACAGGTGTAAAGGAACGTGTCGAATTGTTTTCCACCCGCCGGGAATCGAACCCGGGCCCTCCGTGTGTGAAGCGGGAGCTTTAGCCACCAGGCCACCGGGACTGCCGGAGAGTATATTGGAACACTCCGACCCCTGTGAGACACATACCTCAGCTTTCTCCAGGTTAGATAAGGCAAGGTTTGTCAAGAAGATAAGTATTTCCTTACGAGGGCCTTAGTCATGACCCACAGCTGAAGCTTTTGGTCATCTGACCGAGGAATTCCGCTGGCATACCGGTCCACCCCCACCCCCACCCCTTTAAAAATTATGGTTCAGCTTTCTCCAGTCAACCTGTTCACTTATGAGTGAAAATTAACTTTTGCAGCTGGTAAAATTATAAGAAAGGAGTTACAAATTAAATACATATTTGTAAAAATTTATTTTTTTATTTTCGTTGAAATTTTGAGGGGTTAATTTTTTTAATCCAAAATTGTTGTTAGGTCAGACAAGAAGCCTTAAGCACCATAACACTGAGCACAAAATACTTTAAAATGATGTTTTAACTTAATGATCAGGTCGCGGGGTTTAAGTATATTACATAAATTCAGTATACAAGAGTCAAAATTACAGAATTTTAATGCACCGAATAAAATTGTATACAAATTACAGAGGTTCACTAAAAGGCCGTCAGTCGTGGACAAACGATCCAGGAGGGAGAGAAACGTTGTTCTCAGGTTCCTTTCCTAAGTGATGCAGGTTTAAGCTGAATTGTTCCCGCTACGGTATTGTGACTTTCTGGTTCTTCAGTACAAAGGTGTAGGTGGAAAATTTCTCGGACTGTGTAGTCGCTCAGTCCCGCTGTGTCCGCGGAAGCTTTACACGTGAGACATAATACCTATGTAACACACAGGTGAGTGCAGATAGAAAGCATGTATGTCCTGCACTCAGCAGACGGAGTATCAAGCCTCCACCACGCCTTGCACTGAATGATCCACGTGGGTTTTTTTGCGCTTAACATGAATTATTAAAAATTGAAATTAAAAATGTCTGTGTAGTGCATCGTAGCCCACCAGAGAATTTTCTCTGTGAGAGTGATTGATGCATCACGGGGGAAAGAGTGGAATTGCTGTCTCATTTACTAACAACGATATTAAGGGGAATTGTGAAAAAGTCAAGACATTCTCCTGAAACAAAAATTATGTCAAAGGTTCTTGGTATCCCCTTGGAGGGTTCATCAGTGCCACGGGGACATAAGAACATAAGAACATATAAAGAAGGAACACTGCAACAGGCCTACTGACCCATAGGAGCAGGTCCATGTCCCCCCCCCCGGATTAGAACCCAAAGACCCCCCCCCCCCGGGTTAGCCAATGACCCACCCAGTCCGACATCTCCCACTCAAGGATGGAGTACTGCACCAGACTGAGCAGCACAAGCTAGTCAGGTCCAACTCACACCCACCCACACCCACTAATGTATTTATCTAACCTATTTTTTAAAAATTTCACAACTTTTTTGCCTCATAACTGTACTTTGGGAGTTTGTTCCACTATCCACAACTCTATTACCAAAACCCGTGTTTTCCTATATCCTTTCTGAATCTGAATTTTTACAACTTGAAAACCTTTTCTGCGAGTCCTGTCTTGGCTGGAAATTTTTCAGCACGCTATTTACATCTCCTTTATTTATTCCTGTTTCCATTTTACACCTCGATCATATCCCCCCTAATTCTACGCCTTTCGAGAGAGTGCAGATTCAGGGCCTTCAGTCTATCCTCATAGTGAAGATTTCTGATACATGGGATCATCTTTGTCATCCTCCTTTGTAGTTTTCCAGAGTATTTATTTTCCATTCTGCGATGAATGGTTTTAAAAACCGACAGTTGAAGATTGGAGACACTTATGCATCATATGGGAATCTTTATTTAGGAAACTTTTCCCGCCACACAGGGGGCTTCATCAGTCCAAATAAAAAGCAGAGAGGTGAAAGAAGAGGAGGAGATTGAGGTAATCAGTCCCTCAGCCTGGAGTCGATGGGGTTCAGTCCATCAATCTTGTAGTCCATCCATCTTGTGTTCATCCATCAATCTTTTACAAGATTGTGGACTGAACACATCGACTCCAGGCTGAGGACTGATTACCTCAATCTCCTCCTCTTCTTGCCCTCTCTGCTTTGTATTGGATGATGAAGCCCCTGTGGGCGAAAACGTTTTCCCAAATAAAGATTCCCATATGGGTGCATATTCCATTTTGAAATACGGTGACCAGAACTGAGCCCGCATAGTCCCCAAATGAGGCCCAACCAAGGATATATTTGAGTTGAAGAACAACCTGAGGATTGTATTATTTATACTTTCTTGATATGAAGCCAAGAATTCTGTTAGCTTTTATTTCGAACACTAATGCCTGTTGTCTTTGGGTTTTAAATTATGCTAACCAAACTCCTAAATCCTTTAAGGGAAAATAGAACAAGAACGAGGACACTGCAGAAGCCTACCCGGCCCATGCCGGCAAAGGTCCAAGTTTCCTACCGGCTTAAACCAATGCATCCAACCCAGTCAGGTCAGGTCACATTGCTTAAGGAGGGAACACGGCAACCCACCTGGTAGCTCAAGCTATTAGGTCCATCACACCACCAACCCCATCTAACTCTTTTATTTTATCCAAACCCTTTTTTAAAGCTACAACCGTTCTGGCTCATAACTATACTTGGGAGTTTGTTCAATCATCCACAAAATCTATTACCAAACCAGTACTTTCCTATTCCTTCCTAAATCTGAATTTTTCAAACTTAAAAACCATTGCTGCGGCCCTGTCTGGCTGATTTTTTCAGCAAAACTATTTACACCCCCTTTATTTATTCCTGTCTTCCATTTATACACCTCAATCATATCCCCCCTAATTCACGTCTTTCTGGGAGATGCGTTTCAGGGCCCTTGTCTATCCTCATAGAGAAGGTTTCTGATACTGGGATCAACTTGTCATCCCCCCTTTGTACATTTTTCCCGGAATTATATCCATTTTGTAATACGGTGACCAAAAAAGTGCAGCATAATCAAATGGGCCTAACCAAGGAGTAAGAGTTTAAGAAAACCCGAGGACCCTATTTTTTAGCTTCTTATATGAAGCCAAGGGTTTATTAGCTTTATTTCGAACACTTATGCACTGTGTCCCGGTTTCAAATTATGCTAACCCGAATCTAAATCTTTTTTTCCAATCCGTAATATTAGTCTACATTTGTATTAAATCTACATTTTTTAGTTTTTATGTGGGATGGTTATTTACCGCCAAAATTTAGAACTTTGCACTTGTGAGAAAAGGGTTTTTAAACCGAAAGTTTAAAATTGAGAACTTATCACCATATGGGAATCTTTTTTAGGAAACTTTGCCACACGGTGGGTTCATCAGTTTCCCCCGGTGGCGAAACGTTTCCTAAATAAAGATTCCATTAGTGCATAAAGGGCTCAAACTTAATTTGCACTTGTCAGATTAAACTGCATCTGCCACTTCTCCGCCTTGCATCAGTCTATTCAAATACCCGGAGTGCTTGTGCCCCTTTTAGAATGAATT